AAATCCTTTTACAGAGTACCTAGGTAATATGATGGTGTAGTGATAAAGATAGCGACAAGACACTGCACTGGATAGGCAGAAGCAGAATAATTAGTCCCAACTTGCTTTTTGAAGGAGACTATCTTATTCTTGAGGGTCTAATTCTAACAGCATCTGTCACAAAAATTGAAGTCAGGCCTGGAAACTATGCATCAGCAGCTTTGCTGACTAGCTAAATTATTTTAGTGTAGTAGTGCATATTTCTTCTGCAGAATATTCTTCCCACAGTACCTTGCTGCTTCAGAATTCATTTTTATTGCAAAAATGACTAGTTAATGCAGTTGGTTTAAGGTGAGTGTCTGTAATAACCACAGAAGGCTTGTTTATTGGAATATTGAACAAGGCTAAAACTAGGTGTTTGGGGGTTTTTTAATTAAGAATAAACCCCTGTACACTCTGCAATTAAATACTGATGAAAGTATTCCTAGCTTTTCCTGTAAGATTTATGGTCCTAAAAATATTTGAAGAGACTAAACACTTATACAAGAAAAGATGTAACTATTAGAATAGAATGTTGTCTCATAATTAACTATCAGTATCTAGGTTTCCAGGTTAGGTCTCTGCAGGCATGAACTGCAGCCTTAATTTCAGTCAGCACTCTTAATTTCAGGCTTTCTGTGGCTTTGTAAAGGTGTCAATGTGGTGGTTCTTGTTTTCAAGGCTATACTGAGGCGTTACTTTTGTTGTTAGAAGATTCTGGAGAAAGTAAGGATGAGTTTTGCAACAAATTGCCAACGAGGGCTCATATATGAGGCCTCAAGAATTTGTATTTTAATGCTAAGGAAGTTATGTAGTTTCTTTCATGTGCATTAACATCTGCACGGGCATGGTGGGGAGGATAGGTTTTAGACACATTAAATGGGAAGCTACATGATATCTGGTGTATCTTTCTGACTCTTAAGATTTGGAACGCAGGTATCTGAGATGGATTGAGCGCTAGGTACATGTTAAAACATTGCAGAGCCACATACCATACTAAAAAAAAGGGGAGAAGGCAGTGAGCCTGGAGGTTTCCAAACTGCAGTATGTACTACATGAACTGTTCAGGACGGTGTGCAGTAGAAGTGGTGCTTGACTACTTGTGCAATGGTCCTTGCCCAAGCTGAGAACCAGGTGTGATGCCAGCAGCCTCCTTCCACGGTGTGCCACTCTCATGCCAGCTAAGAGGAAAAGATTGCAAGTCAGGAGCTGTGTCCTTACATGACACTGAGTAAAACAGGGATGGGAACAGAATCCAGGTTTCTGACAGCATGTTTAATGTTCTAGGCATCCATTTTTTACATCATGAGTTTCAGAAGCATAGTGGTAGGAGCTTTGAAAATGCGTAAAATAAAGATTGGTATTTGTCCCTCACTAGTAAACTTCGTTTGTGCCTTTGTCTTCTCAGAATGCTGAATATAACTCAAACCCCGAGGTTCAGAAAGTGGTGAGGTAAGGGCCAGCACAGATCTTACCATAATCTAAATGGCACGCAAGAAACTGATTTTACCTGTTGGGACATTCAGTTCAGTAACATCAGTAACTATAAAAAGCAGGTATGAAAAGCTGAGAAAATACATTTTTGTTTGTATTTGCACCTTTTATTGTATATGCTCCAGCTTCAAGTAGCTGGGAAATACTTCAGCAAAGGGAAGCATAGCTGTTAGCTCACAGCAAGAGCCACCTTTGAGGAAACAAGGGTACCTATTTAAGGATGGGATTTGTTCAGTTGCATTGTGAGTGGCAAACAAGGCTTTCTCCTCACGTGTGTTGCCAGTGATGTGATGACATGTGACATGACAGTCAGTAGTTCGTGGGTACAATGAGATGTCATGGAGTGAAGGAATTCTCTGATCAAAGGTGGAGGGTTTGTAACATTTACTGCATCTGAGAACATTTTAAAATGTACAGCATGAACATTTGCTGTAGCTCTTGTTTGCTTTAGATGACTAACCCAAAATTGGATGTGGCCCATGGTGGCTGTGCTTTCCTCCTAGGGGGGTTGTAGTGCTTGTAACATGGAATTCTAATGTTCTTAAAGAAAGCTTCAGCTGCACTTTGATGCTTCTGTTCCTTTAACCTCTTATTTCCAGTTTAAGTTGTGAGGATTTTGCTGCCCTTCATGTTTCCGAAGGAGGTTTCTCTGCTTGTAAGGTCTCCAGTTGTGTTGTACATTAATTACATTTAATTTATTTTTTTCCCCAGTATTGTTATGCAACAGATTTTCTGCTTTTTTTAGACAGGGAAGGCATGTGTCTAGGAGCCCAGTGGTATGATTTTCCCCTGGGATACAGAAAATGCAGATTTTAATTCCCTTGACCCGGAAGACAAGAACAGGCAGACTCTGTGAAATCAGGGTTTATTTTGTGTTCATCTACTATTCTGTCTCAGGCAAGGCAGGATTAGATGAATAAGGTATAATAGCTCAGGAATGGAATAGTACTTTGGTTTCCTCAGCTTTTTGATGTCTGCCTTGTTATGTTTAGTAATGCTTCATGTACTTTTCTTACATAAAATCATCTAATGGGAGATCAGGTCTATCATGTCCCAGAAGGTAGACTCAGCTCCTTTCATAAAATAAAAAGGGAAATATTTATGCGAGGCTGCAGCTGGTGATGTTCAGAGGCTGATCCCAGGCTAGCTTGGCGATGGCATACACCTCTTCTGGTGTATGCTCAGGTCTCCATTGCTTCCTTGGGCATGGGGAGCAGTATACCTAACAGTGTGATGACTGTAAGAAATGGTGTGACTTAGAATCATAGAATGGTTTGGGTTGGAAGGGACCTTAAAGATCATCTAGTTCCATGCCTTTCTTAAGCCTGAAGGCAGTCCAAGACTACCTTTACACCTACCACTGACCACCACTTATCTCAGTATTTTCTGTGGAGCTTGTTCAAAGGAGCATTGTAGGGAGAGGTGAGTCCCGATGAGACCCTGGAAGCTGCAGCCTCACAGTCTTTCTATGGATTTAGCTGTCAGTCATTTGTTTTCCTTTCATCATGCTTGGTTCCATTTTGTGAGAGGGAGTTGAAGACTGCACAGGGTAGCTGAGCCTTTCCCACATACTAAACGTTTGCAACATTTTCCTTGTTGGCGCTGATGGGTCAGCTGTGCTTGGAATGTAAAATCTGACTTCACATGAGAACTTCAGAGTGTGCTGAAGTTCTCATGTGGAGAACTTCACTGAAGACTCAGCTTCCCAGATGAGTGAATATGCTGCCGTCAGGATGTCCACTGAAATGCCTGTCCTTAAGGCCTGGCCCCAGGTGCCTGGCACAGTCAGATTCAACCTTACTGGCCTGCGGTGGCTGTCTTATAAGACTGCCCACAGGTTGTCTACATCAAGATGCCTAGCTGTGTATGACTGCTTCTTTTAAAATGCTTCACATCACTCAGCACAACTAGAATTAAACCCTTAATAATGTTTTTGTTATTGCTTTCCCAATGGGACACTGGGTGCCAGCAAATTGCAAAGTAAGCTGAGCCAGTGAAGGCGGTTTGGAATACTTGCAGAGTCTTCCTTTTGGAGATGAGAGACCTGAGCTCCCTGGGATTTGCTGGGTTTGGGAAGCACTTGCTAATGTTAGCTAAAAGCCTTTCCTCCCCTGCAATACATTGCTCTCTTCCTTTTGTCACACAACCTTCCTCCACTATCTCTACAAAAAGGCTTTCATGCAATCTGGCATGTCAGCTGTTGCCTTTGTGCATTGTGTTGGGTCTGGGATAAAGTGTAAGCTCTTCAGCCCTGGAGCTTTATAGTATGGCATGGATGCTGATGGTGCTCTGGTTAAGAAAAAAGCAACCAAGCAAACTTATAATTAACAATAACTAAGCAGATTTGGGAACTGTGAGTTCCTAGAAGTAGTTGCATTTTTAAAGGTTTTCCTATTCTTTTCCCTTTTAAAGCTGTTCATCGTGGTATTTTCACTATGGAAAACTGCATTGTTAGGAAACAGACTTGTGTGTAGGTCTCAGTATTACAAGATTTATCTTCAGAAAGCCAATTAGCGCTTGAAGTAGAAGCTAATCTACTTCACAAGTGTAATTTGTCTTACAAACAGCAGCAAGCAACCGCACTGCACAGTACCCTCGTAAGAAAAAGCAAACCTGGTCTGTTTCCATACATCTTTTCTGTATGTTTCTACTTTAGAGGCTTTTTCCATTAATCTAATGTGCATGGCAGTGTGAACACTGTGTGGAGACAGCACAGTGCTGCAGCATTGCTCCTGCAGGGAGAGGGCTTAATCAGCCCTAGGGTGAGTTGTTAAATAAGGGAGGTGACAGACTGTAGGAAAGAAGCAAAGATACAAAATCTTTGAAAAGAGGACTGTGACTCTACCTTCTGTAGGGGAGCGGTTCTGTTACACACTGTAAGCAATAAATAAATAGAAAGCAATTCTATTATATGTTGTGAGCTATGACTTGTTGGAGTGAGCAGTTAGAAACCAAACTCACATGGACTCTCTAAAGTATGGAATAAAACCCAAACCAACTGTGCTATAATAAAGCATCAGGGTGCTGACAGAACTTCCCCAGTGCAGATCAGTAGTAAGATCACGATCCATCCTCTTGAGAAATATGGTTTGTGCATTAGTATGCTTGAGTTTTGCCAAAAACCCTGTTGTTTTAGGCATGAACTAGCAAGGCAGTGTTGGCACTGTAAGTGTAACGTGCCCTCTGACTGCAGTTCTATTTTCAAACGCAATTTAGAACCGACTACAGGTGTCAGTGTGGGCACTGAGCATCTTTACTGGTGGCAGTTTATGTATCTCATTTTGAGGAGGGCCAAGAGCTGCAGCTGAGGCATGGGGTGATGTAAAAATTAAGATACTCCAGCTCTGGCTGAAATCGGCATGCTGTCAAGTTGCATCATCAGCCTTTGGAGGCAGAGGGGAGGAGAAAACAGAAAATTGAGTGCCGTTGAACTGAAAATGGAAGTCGATGCATGGATTGACCTCTCTGTGTTTGTTCTTCATTGACAGGTTAATGACGCCCGGCAGTGAAATTAGATTTGTTCATAAGGTCATGGGTCTGGTGCCAGGCTGGGGAGGAGGTGCCCGGCTGGTGCGGATCGTCGGCAGTGGGGCTGCCCTCCAGCTCCTGAGTGGGGCTATCAGGGTGGACCCCAAGACGGCTTTGCACCTTGGGCTCTCGGAGGAGACACTCTCATCCTTGGATGAAGCTGGAGCATTAAAAGAAGCCCAAGCCTGGCTAAATCAGTACACAGAGGGTCCAGCCAGTGTGATTCGGGCTGCGAAAGAGGTGGTGGCAGTGGGAAGAGAGCTACCGGTGGAAGCAGCCTTAAGGACAGAGAAGGACATTTTTGGAACTCTGTGGGGTGGGCCTGCCCATTTGCAGGCACTGGCTAGAAGACCAAAACATAGATGACCGTCAGTGCATAAGAAATGTTCCTGACCTTTCTGCAAACAAAGCTTTCGCTGAAGCAGGCATTTAACTGAATCATTTAATGATTTGTTCATTTAAACTGACATTAACATTCCCGTTGTTCACGAGGCAGACATATTTGGTGTGCAACCACATAAAATCCCCTGCAGATTCTTTACTGTCCTAATCATTCACTGAATGGAGATTAGTGAAATTAGTATGTAAAGGTAAATACTGTGCTGAGAATAGGGTTATAATTCTTCTGGAATGAGGCTGAGGATTATTTTCTTTGGAGTTAATTTTGTTTCTCTAACTGGTATGGAAATAAATTGCTTGAAAGATATGATGTGTATTTATTTGCAGAACAGGTGCATCTAAAGCTGCAGAATATGAGTTCCCCCACATGAGACCAGTGTCTTTAAGCAGCTTGGAAGCGATGGTAACCGGTGAGATGATAGCTTTTGTTTTTTCATTGTCAGTTCTTTGTGTGATTGCTGAGAAAGTGTCCAAGGATACTTAAATTTTAATTCTTTTTACAGGAGAAGTTCTAAGTTACTGAGGAGTTTGTAGCCGTTGTTCACTGACAGTGATTCAGGTCTTTAAATGCATTTAGGTGTCATCTCACTGTTTGAGGAACCAGCTACCTACATATGCATCTGCACATTCCCATAGCCTTGACCTGTGCTGCTGAGAATATACAAAGCTGCTGACCTTACGTATTACACAGAATCTAGCTGGAATCTTGGAAGCCCGTGATGTACCATGCATCCAGATGCGATATCCTTGACTGACTGGGTGGTCTGAGTACTTTAGCATTCTGGAAGGATGTATGGATCTGTCTACATCTTTCTTCAGGGTATTTTTACTCGTCGAGCATACTTGGGCTGACCAGATTTAGCACTCCAGTTCATGCTGGTGATTGTGTAAGTAATTAGATAACCAGTGGGGAGGGGTTTCCTTTTAGAAATTAGAAACTGACGAGTCCCTGCTTTGGTAGATTAATCTCAAAATCAAACAGGAAAGTCCCTCTCCAGATTTCTTGTAGGCCCCCTTTCAGCACTGGAAGCTGCTCTGAGGTGTCCCTGGAGCCTTCCCTTCTCCAGGCTGAACAAGCCCAACTCTCTCAGCCTGTCTTTATAAGAGAGGTGCTCCAGCTCTCTGATAATCTTCACAGCCCTGCTCTGGACTCACTTGAGCAGGTCCACGTCCTTCTCATGCTGGGGGCCCCAGAGCTGACTGTGTTACTGCAGGTGAGGTCTCGTGAGAGCAGAGTATGATTTCTACAGTGTGGCAGGATTCTGCAGTTGTAGACAGCAAGGTAACTGTACATATGTTTGAGGATCTTGGGGCAGATCAATGATGGGAATTAGGCCTGGATTGCCTGTTAAGATTCTGCAGCTTTTGAGCAGATGCTCTGCTCTGCTGGGGATGTTTCACTATATGGCTTTCACAGTGGGGAGTGTGTATAGCCTGAAGCAACCAAAATAAATGCTTGGGAAAGGGATGTGGTTTGAGTTGGCACCTCAGGGAGGGTAAGGCACTTAACTCTGCCCTGTTGATCCTGTCTGTTTGCCTTCACACCTGAAGCTGCTGCTGGAGGAAAATTTCAAACCTTTCTTCCCCAGAAATGAAATTCAGTTTTCACTTCCAGAGAAAAGACAGGAATGGGAACACGGGAAGAGTAGTGTTACGGTTTGTTCCTCTTCCCCCACAAGCCCCTTTTTATCCAGCAGCTCAGTTGTTAGTTCCCTCTGCAGCTGGATTCTTTCCTGTGCTCTGAGGGACTTCAAACCCATTGCTTCTAGAGTGTGGATGTTTTAATATAGTCAGGCAGTACCTGACTGTTTAGTAATGAAGCTTTTCTGCTTTTCATGAAGTTCCTCAAGACTCATGAGGGACTCCAGACTGCCAGCATCACTGAACCTTCAGAGCATGTTCCAGTCTGTGCTCATCCAACTTCATGAAGCAACAGCACATTGCTGCGGGTCAAAAAAGTTGTGCTGTAAAGGGCAACTGCTTATGTCTTTGCTAGTAACAAATTTGCCATTACTAACACTGCGATTATGTGTATAAAATGGATGTGAAAATTGCTTAGAACCTGAGCGAGACCCTTGAATATTGTTTTTTTTATTATTTCTCAGGTGCCAGGCTGTAAGGCTCGTTAGTGTACTCTGTGCATTGAGTGATACACATTTGAAAGGGATAGTGTAGCAGAAAAGAAGAATCTGTTTTACTTGCATGTTGTCAATCAGACTTGCGTGCCAGTAAGTGAAACTCAGTATGTACATCTATTGGGGACCTCTTTCCATTTCAATTTGTAGACAGTGAGCTTACTTCTCATTTCAGTAAATGCATTTCCCCAGACATCCTCTCTGATTTGTATCAAAGGCCAACAATTGCTTCTAAGAACAGGACAAATAATTAACAAGTACTGGGTAAGACACTTTCAAAAAAGTTTCAGAAAGGTTTCAAAAAAGGTTGCAGAAACTCATTTTGTTGGAATCACGAATATACCAAACTTGTCCAGACAGGAGAGTCTGAAGATAATTACAGGTATTTGTTTTGATCAAGGATTTTGAGAACAGCCTAATACTGTATTCTCTGGTTTCTTTTCTGATTTAAAAGCAAGTACAGCTCTTCATATAAAAACCCACCTAAATTACCATGAATGCTAACTTGAGAGCTACAGACTGAAATGAAATAGAATCCTATTTTAGCAATTTCAATCCCAAATGCTTTATTTCATTGAATACTTTCCTGTCATCTTAAAGCAACAAACACCTGTAACCAGCAGCTGAAAAGCATTTTTATTTTCTTCACAATTATTAGACTCCAAGCTTCATCCCTGTTTCTGTTGCCCTCCAGAAATGGCCTAAAAACAAGCAAGCAGTAAATGCACAAAATAAATTAGAAACTTCAAAACTGATACTCCCAGTCTCTAATTAAATGGTGTGCTAGCTTTTGTATTTCCTAAGGGCTAGCCTGCCAGCTCTCTCGTCAGCAAACTAGGTTTCCTATTACTTTGTGAAATGCCTGTCTTGTTCCCTTGCCTCCCTGTACTGGGACAGCCTGAGTGCTTAATGGTGCTGTGGATTCAGCACTGTGTCTTTAAAGATTACATACTGGAGACCACTTTTAGCAATATAAATGCTTTATCATATTTGCTGCTGACAGATACATACTTGCCAAATGG